CGCGAGATATCCATCTCGAGCCAAAGTAAGTTTCATTTGAAATATTTCTTCGTACAAAGTATAGTTTAGGAGATATTTGTGCGGATCGATTAAAACGAGACACCCTATGCGTATTGCCCCAAATGCGATTCCCATTTTACGAATATAATCACGATAATCGTCGTGTCGTCGTGTCGCGTTACACAGGTAACGAAATTTCAAATATGCGTGTAAAAAGAGTGGTCGTGTACTTTTGTTAGCCACTATATTATACGTTGCGGCATGAAAAGAAATCGGGCACGAAACACGTTCGACCGATTTAATCGAGAACGTTGTATCGGGTTCTGCAAAACATGGGGCAAGGCAACACCTTCTGCGTACGATAATCGTCTCTCACGTTTGGTGAGATATCAGAACGCCAGCTGAAGGAGAAATATTACTCACATATCGCAATGAAATTGATAGTTTGAATTGTGAAATTCTTCAAAGAATGCTTACGAAATAAAGCATTTAACCTGAACCGTAAATTACATGTAAACCGTAATGTATATTTCGATAAATGCGTTTCTATTTAATGTCACTTTCATTCAGATTTCGTGGATCTTCACGAAACTGGTAAATCGTTGTCGTTCGAGCCGTTCGTAGACCAAATTGGTCACAATTTCACTTTCTGAAATTTTTGAAATTTAGTGCCGGTTGAGCGATGTTCATCTTATATAATTTCATTAATCTGCTCTACTTCCTCTTCTGCGACCGACTTGGTAAATGGAGTTAACTGATTTGGCAAATTAGCGTTTCATTTATCAGATTACACGCCGTTAATTCATTGCATAATGAGTTTGTTCGTAATGAATGTATCTCTTGTTCCTTTTAATTTAACAGATGGTATAAGAAAAGTGAAATCATGCAACACTTGAAACTCCGACGTAGTCCATTTTTGTTTCATTAGAAAGTGCTCCGATAATTATTCCAATAAACCGATCATTCAATGGATAATCGAGTAGAAAATTAGATATAAAATATTCAATTAAGGAACTGTTTTCAATCATGGCTGAATATTTAAAGATGTTAAATATGTGTTTGCATAAAGAACACTTTGACATACTTTAGCATCTACAAGAAGCTCTTGAAGGTACCATTTTCAGATACACTGCCTACCAATTTCATTTCATTGATACAGTATACACATAATGTATATCGTGTAGTTAGTTAATTAGTTAGTTTTATTTTTTCCAGAACGCTTCGTGATTATTTTGCCATGTATCCATGAGACGATTGCTAAGGCGGAACAAAAGATAATGCATCGTTGCAGAATGGTGTGACTTTGAAATTAGTCAGTCGTATATTGTCCACCATATACATTCAATGTGTCGAACGTGTGAAGAGACTCGCTCACATATCGAACAATAAATAAATAACAAACGTGGATTTTGTACCGAAAGCGTTGCTTTTAGATTCTGTGTTGATTAAGCATTTTTTAATCCTCTCGATAAATACCTTTGCCCGACGCTTTTAATATTCTGTATATGTAACTGTTTAAGGTGCGTTTGCAAAATACTCAATTTTTAAATCTTTCGTAGATCAGTACTTAGTATGTAAAAATTATAACAGCTTCGTATACATATACATACATACGCGCTGTCTCTGTGCTTCTATTAAATACCCCATAAATTTCAGGTTTCCGTTTTTCTTTCTTTCTGCAAGGGAATAAAATACAATGAAATCCAAAACGAGATAATAGCTTTTGTTCGTTTAAATCTCAAATATTCTAATTTTTTGTTAAAAACGAGAAAGGATCGGCGGATGGTAGAAGTTGAATAAAATCTATCAACCCATGAAATTCTCGATTCCGATGAAATTATCGATCGTAAGACTTGAAAAAAGGAAAGAAAGAACAGATCCTTTCTGTTAGTGAGGTCATTTTTAGTAGTTTTATACCGCGTTAACTTTCTAAGGGATGAGGTATGTATTATTCCGTTAATCATGTCGATTTCCATACGGAGAGGCAAGCAAAATTATCTCGTGATGTCGGCTGTTGAAGTGCTACAGATTATGCAATTAATCTGGATTATCGTTAAACGGAATCATCGATCGGAATAATTTTCAAACGATTAGTCACGAACTACGAGACGTTTCTTTCGAATAGCCAAAATTTTCCGCCATTATACGTCTCATTGAATGAATAGAACGGCTCCTGCGTAATCTCATTTACTGTTATCATTGACTATTAGCTTCGGCAATTATTGCTTCGTTTCATAATAACATAAAATCCGACATAATTGTTAGTGATGTTTTTTTAAAACTAAATGTTCTGTTTCATATCGAGAAATTCGCTTCGTTCAATTTATGGACACAGCATTTTTTATGACTATCGTATTAACGCTAAATACACAAATGTGGTATGTAATTAATTTTAGATAAAGACGTAATGGATTGTAAACGAAAATGTTATAGGATTTTTGTTGAACAGTAGATCAGAGCTTTATTGCACATTCGTTCAATTTCTTATACCGATTGAATATCACATTCGCGTTAGACACAAAACGCAAAAATAAATTCAAATAAAGGAGTTACTATTTTAAATTATTATTTGAAGAAGATGTACTGTTTGAATAGTTCTCGTCGTACCAATATATGTATCTGATATAAACCCAGCACTTGCTTCTAATAGGAAAGAGCAAGTTATTCTCGCCAGACTTGGACACACTAAACTAACACATTTTCATCTTATAACTAAAAATGAACCAAACAAGCGCAATCGCTGTAACTGAATTCTGTTTGTAGATCATCTTCTTTACTGTAGTAACGTTTCCCAATACGAAAGTAAATATGCTCTTCCAAATGGGATTCAGGCATGTCTAAATCGTACATTGCAAAAATCTTCTCAACTTCCTCAAAAATATTTATTCGTATCACCGGCTATGATATTGTGAGCTAGCGATTTAGTTCTAAAATACACTGTGTCGTATTGATTTAAATTTAGGTTGATAGTGTCACATGCTCAAGAAGGTCACACGCTCAGAAGCAGTAATAGGATAGACTAAACATCCTGCATGCCACAGCTATCGAAACAATAACCAGATAGTAACGAAATAGCTACCTCTGATATACACCCGACAATAACACCTCCAGAGGGACTAAAACCTCGGTATAGAAACCCTGCCAAATCAGCGCTCCGTGCCTTTCTGTTCTAACACTTTGAACCGTCACTCTATTGGATTCTCATAATAAATTCTATTACCATATATAAAGTTCAATTTCTTCACCTTTTTTGTGAAACGTTCGAACTGCGACGCGAGGAGATCACCGATGATCTGTCATTTTCGTGATTTCTTGTGTCTCCTATGTGACAATAGCACTGTATTACACTGTGTCAATAACGAGAAGCTCTGTACACGTATGTGTAAATTCTATTATAACAATATCATGGCGTAATGTTCTTAAAATTCGTGTAACTAAAAGCTTGTCTCGAACGTTATTGGCTTTAATTAGAGGAATTTTATAGCAAGATGAAAGTAACGTGCTTTGTGGATAAAAGTAAGTTGTCTTGCTTCGGCAAGCGCTCATTGTCAGTTACAGAAATATCACTCGGATTGAACGATTAAATGCTCTTTTGCGCAGATGTTTTGCAAGCAGCCCAAGCGAGCATGGATGCTCGTATTTACGATGCTTCCTTTCCACGGAGAAATGCGAGAGTTATATTTTTTCTCGTTATGCAATAAGCAGCTTCGAACTCGTTTCCACCTGACGTTAATACTCGAACACTGAATATATGTACTATATAAGTACTTTGCTCACGTTGGCTTTGGACATGACTTACGGGCACGTAACACGAGAACTCGTAGAAGATGGCTGTACGTACGTAAGATACACTTAAGTGACGTGCGTTTTTCTCTAGTTGATCGATAAACACAGCGAATTGCTCGCTTCCTGATCAATCGATGAGAAAGTTTATCCTTCTTTCTCAATATGATGATCTCTGTATTGTACATCGGTTCTAGACTCCGATATGAAACGTATAACCACTTGGCAATAATAATTACTAGACTGCGGCTTTTTATGCATTTATGGGAAATTTCAAAGCATCTATTACGCGATAATACGCACAAGGAAAGCTTTCTGCTTAGATTCTATTCCTTCATTTGTCTTTATAAATTTATGAAAATATCTGCTATTACATAGCGTGTAATTATGTGATACGATATATCTTTTGGATCAATTAGCACACATTCTGTAGTTCACATACAGTGACGAAAGTATCTAAAGTAGAAAGTACGTAGTAACTTTACAAGTAACTGTAACTTTATAAGTAAAGTAAGTAGTAGAAAGTAAATAAAGAAGAAGACTCTCCCCAAAGTATTGGAAACTTCTTACGTATGGGTTTCATCTAAGGATGGCCCACATAACTTTATCACCTGGAACATCTCGCTTATTTTTAGTAATATTAGAAAATGTTGCAGGTACAAATTGAATGGTTTTAAAAGGGACGCGATTCGACACACTTGAGTTTTCCGTACAAAACATGAGAGGACACGCTAATATTAATTAATAACGAATATAACGCAATATTTTAAAAAGCGAACCCAGTACCACCGCGATGTACTCACGTACTGCTATAAATTTTATTTTTTATAAAATAAAATAAAATTAACTGCAGCATAAAATATTTACACGAAGCAATTCAAAGTTAATACTTCAATCGTAGTAAACAAATTTTACCGATATAACATCACATTGGCAAATTTATATGAACGAAAAAACTCCACGTAATTCTAGTAAAAGCTTCACGCATTTCTACTGAAAAATATATTAAAAGACCTTTTCAGTTTTTACTTTCTTTTCTTTTCTCAGACAAAATTTTTTTTAGTAATTTAAAAGACCAAAAAACAAAATATCTATAAAAACATTTCCTTAAAATAATTCTTGGAAACATAATCGTTGATCGGTGTTTATATCATAAATACTGCTCGTATCTCATTTACGATAAGATAGTTCCGTTTAAAAGAGGATGAGATTGCGTTCACACCCATAACGTTAAACGTATTGCAAAGTGTCTCTTCGCAACCGTAAGCGTTCGCGCGATTCAAAAAAATTCTGTGTTTTACGGGAGTTTTGTTACCAAAGTCAAGATGCAAGGCCGTGGTAAGTAACTGTTTGAAATATAATTTTATTTTTTGTAATATATTTAGATCGATACCCATTTGTCGTGTATCTTACGAATACTATGCATTTCATGCGCACGATATAACAGGTGATAAAATGGCTATGATAAATACATCACACATAATCAGATAATTACTTTAATTTTGTGAATATGCAGTATGATTCGCAATTCATAACAAAAGTGCATCGAAGACTTCGTTTTCGAGCGTAGAATAAAATCATTTTGTCTAAAGTCACATTTTTGAGAAACTCAAATTTGAAAATTTGCCCAATTCTATTTTCTCCATTGCAGGACCATACGCGTAAACATCTGATCCTTCGTTTTCAACTGTCCAGCTCAGATTTGCCTATTTCCTCACAAATTTTCAAATTCGATTTTCTCAAAAACCAAGCGCTTCCATTGCAATTTTGTTATTCTTGATTTTCGTCTTATTTACAACCATAGAATCTCCGTGTTTTTTCCATGAATTACGGATCGCCTTGTATGTAAAGCCGTTTGTATCTTTCTAATCTCAGCATCTATATAATGTTAACAAATTCGTATCGACTTTCTGGTTAAACGATCGACTCGTCGCTTAACCGATTCGTCATCTATCTCTCGATTAAATTTATCGCTATATATGCCTTTTTTATCGTAATGATAAAGTTTTTAACCTTACAATTGGCACAAAAGTTTGTATTCTGACAAACGTAACTCATACCGAGAAAACGATTTATTTTATTCGATAAGTAGATTCTGCAAAATGCTTCGAAAACGGATCTCGAATCAAGATTTAACAATCACCCTGTACGTCATTCCCTTTACACGCATACTTACAGTTTCTCGCAAAGATATTTGCACACTTAATATACATTAGAAAACTCCTACGTGTACACTGTTTATGCTATATGAAACACTTTGAACACTATATGAACACACGTTTTTGCCAAGCTTATATTGGCAAAGTTTGAACCCAATCTGAAAATATATACGAGTGATTCTACAGAAGTGGGAATTTTTTGCAGTATTCACTTTTTAGCACCCTAAACCCTTTGCGGTCCTATGTCCAGTGTGGCTGGACCTTTTCTCCTGTTAAGTCCGATGTCCAGTCCGATATATATACGTAAATGCGATTTAAACTATATTACGTTTAGTCTCATTTTAATTAAAAACATCTTACAAAGTCAGTCACGTCAGTGGAAGTTTAATTTTAAAGAAATCAGAAATAAAAAAGTTTCATCGTTATCTCATGGAAACGTCAGGATATATCGTTTTATGTACGATCGAATGCAGTTGCACATCTCAGTCATCGAGCGTCACATATCACTCGAGATATCTCTTTTTTATCCAGACTGATAAGCCCGAGCAATTTCTGAAACGCCTATCTTCCTCGATCCTCCTCGCTATGTTAATACAAACCTAAGGACGTTGGTTTCAGTTAGAAATTGATGTCGTTTGTCGGACCTGCCGGTTTAAATAGCTATGCAGTTACAGAGCAACGCTTCTGACTGCAAACGGCTGAAAACGTTAAATTTTATCGTATTTGTATGACAGAGAAAGATAGTAACTTGATAGGAAAATTACGAATTAATCCAGAGATTATCTCTTGCACATGAAATTCTCGGTCCTCTGCTACGTCACAGTTGCAAACTTTACTCTGCAACCCATGATCGGTGAATGAATTTGAAGTTATGTACTAACTTTTCTTCCTTTTTTTGTATATATTTTATAGTGGTTATATTTATTATTCATATCGTTTACTTTTACTTCGATCGACTTCGTTTTATTGATAAATAAGATTTGCAATATTTGTCGCCACTTTTACACCTCCATGAAGTAATTTCTGAAAGAATGATATTTACTTTAACAGGTTTTAACAGGCATTTTGGGAAATCTAAATTTACGCATCCTTGTAGAACAGTCACACATTCCATTCCACCAACTTTTCAACCTCACGGTTCGTATTACATTCCAGGTTTATTATTTTTACTGAGCTTTATTTGTCGTAACGTAAATGTAACAGTGGCATTTAGCTTTCTTTTTAATATCAGAATTGAATAGTGATAATCCTTGAGAAGAATAATTATCTCCCAACTAATGCTTCGTGATAAAAAACGAGAGAAAATATCTGCTTCTTCAAGTAAAAGGTTTCAAACGTGTTTGTTTCAAATATGTTACATGAGACTTTTATTGGACTATCAGCTTCCCGGATACCTTCTCAGTCCTTGTAAAGAGTTTCTAAAAATGTACAGATGAAATCACAGACAGCTATTTATTTGTCTGACCACAAATTCTAGCAATATTAGCGTGTCCTGTGTCATACCTGAAGCTTGTCATATGTCATTCGTAAATTAAATGAAAAAGTGTGCGGGCAACATCGCTGCGAAATAATTTCCACTTCTGCAGAATCACGCATATACAAGTTACAAGACATTAGGTTCTCTCAAAAGATTTTTTCCATTTTGATCTATCGTTACAAAATGGATCATACATGATCCGATAAAATAATATAAAACAAGAGATGCCGCGCATCTCTTATTTCCTCGTAAAATGAAAGAAGCTTCTGGGACAACCTGGTATTCACTGTAATCTCATACATACTTGAAAAAAACTAGTATACAGTGCGAATAATCACCTGCAGCATATAATGAGCGTAGGAGACGATCCCACTTAACGCTGAGACTTAGCGATATCGTGGATGATTTTCGGTTCGAATGCCTTTGTTCGCAACACCTTCTTAAATAAATAAATCCAGAAGAAACATACACGAAATAAACCTTGCTACGACCTTGGCAAAAAGGAACAGACACGAAGAAGCAGAATCGGCACTGGTCACTATAACATTACACATTCGAACCCTATCGAAAAGAGAATCCTGAACCCTGTGAATATCGCAGCACCAACAACACCATCGAACATCTACTTTACTACTGCGCTGAATTAACGAATCAATAACCATTGATTACTGGAATTTGTACTCTGGAATTGGCAATAGATAAATTCAACGTGATTCACAAGACTGATTTAACCAACAAAGTTCGCGACCTGTGAGATATTCGATCGAGAATGTCGTTGCTAACAACCTGATTTCTATCTATAGAGATAGTTTCCATGTTCAGGTTCACTGATACCGACTACTTCTGCAGGATATAAATGGGTTAGATTCACGGGTGCTCGCTACTTCGTACCGGGAATGATCTGTGTCGGCAAGGACTTGGATGGCTTGAATCTTGTTGTTGGACGTGCCTTGCATCATGGTGATATGCTTCCTGCGAAGGTGAAGCCAGAACATGGCGTTGCCTATGTCTGTCACAACGGCAGTGAACACATGAAGCATGATTTTGAGGTAAAACGATATTTAAACGATATTATTTCTATTTTGAACGACGGACTTCTATCCGCTTGCATATCCGTTTATTAATTGAGTTTGAGTAGAATATTCATGCCTAATATTAAATACTTATTAAACGCTTACTTGCATGAAACATCGCTCAAGTATGACACACCGATGTTGGTTAAACTTTACAGATAGGTACATAATACGTGACTTATTTGCAAATAAGCAGAGTGCAGATAATATGCAAAAATGTATAAAATATTTAAAGGAGAGCATTTATCGTGATATTTAGTAGATGAAACGGAGAAACGTATAAAATAGCAGAAACATCCGCGGTATATTCATCGCCATTCGGTATCGATTGGTGACATTCGTTTCGCTCTTCGAATATACTTGCTTGCATAAATAAGCAGCCACTTACTTGCAAGTGGTGCTACGTTAGGTGCCCCTTATTTACTACGTGATACGCTGGATCACATTTATCGAAATCAATTTCTGCCGATTCGATTATGCTAGCGTCTCGTTTAAGGCCATTTGTCTGAGTGTGAAGAATTAAGAATTAAAGATTAGAAGGGTGACGATCATGCCCCTTTATCGATCTCTCTAAACAGCGTACTTCTAAACGATGAAACTATGCAGATGGTTGTAAGATACTTATTCTCGTAATAGATTTTGATGCCTGCCGAATTCCACTGGGTCCACGCGAGTAACGGTTACGTTCCACCACACGCGGTCGAATCTGGAAATACGGTGGAAGGAGAAATGCTTTACGTAGGCCGTGCTTTTCAAAATGGTATACCATGCGTGGGAAAAGTAAGTTCACTTTTTCGTATACATTTCAATACAGCTTGTGGTAACATCGACCAAACAATTACGAGATTCTAGCCGTCACTCGTTATTCCCTAACAATTAATTATTAACTAATGAAGTTGAAAATATTCACGTATGTTGACGTATAGGCAGCAAAGCATCGATACGAGGTTAGGCATATAAAAGTCTTCGGCCAGTGTGAGCCGGCTGGCAACAGTTTCACCGATGCCAGGGGAACCCCAACGCACGGAAAAGCACACGCGATAATAATTTCCAACCACAAGTGGTCGCGTGCACCGTTCGTCGCATCGCGTCGCGTCGCGTCGACGCCATCGATGAAGGAGCTGGCAAGACTTTTATATTCCTAACCCCATACCGATACTTCGTTTCAGAAAGTATGGTACAATTGAAACGAATAAAACAGGAACAACTTAGCGCGGAGCTGTCCACACGGATTTATCATCATCCACAATGCCCATTTCAAACCTGACAAAGTTCTCAAAGAAATAACAATTATCGAGTCTGCTCATCCAGTGGTGGACAATTTCGTTCACATGACAGCGGACCATTTGTGTGCTTTTTGACTATTTCGTTGGACTTTGCCAGTCAGGTGTAATCCTGATTGTCCGAGCGAAACGGACTTTGTATACCTTGCGGACTGCACTTGTAATATATATGTTAACATATTTTCAACTTTATTTGTCAATAAGTTTTGGAGGAACAACGAGCGATGGGTAAAAAAGTCGAGATAGAAAATCTAAATCAAATATAAATATCTCCGATTGGACGCGATAAGAAATCGTAAACTATCGTAGAAAATTCTTTTCTTCTGATTATACGTTAAAACAGAGATTAGTTGGAACACGATAAAGATTTCGGCAGAAGCATTGGAATTTAGTCGCATTTGACTCCAAGCGATTCGAAGATTCCGTCTTTCGTAATTTGTCACAAACTAAGACACGAAACATACTTTCCTCAAATATTTTACATCTGAAACTTTCACGATAATTAATAGATAACATACCTGTGGTTTCGATCGTGCATGTAACAATAGTTGAATTTATTCGAATACTTTGCACTAGTAGTAAGTTTTACTATCTTCTTACGTAATGAATCACGATGAACTCCAACTAATAACACCGTATCAACTAGGTGAGTAATAAGTTCGTTCGTGTTTATCTTAGAAGAGTATGTGCGTCGAGTACTAGATACTATTTCTCTAATTAACTTATTTATCTCATTTCTCTACAAATGTATATAAAAATTATATACATTTTATATTTTATATTTTACATTTTACATTCATTATATACTAACGTATATAAAAATGAAATGTTTTATGTTTGTCCTTCGATCACGCCTCAACTACCGAACCGATTCACTTCAAAATTGGCATGATATAATTGAGATGCAGGATTAGAACATACGCTATTTATTTTTCCTTAAGTGACATTAATATCTATTCGCTCCGTCTTATCTATCTTATCTCTATCCCCGCTTCTGCACTAACTCAAAAGCGCATGCGACACTTGGCCATGGGCACATAAATAGTGGGACCATAGCAAGGATATATGTAATAGGTTCCAGGTTCCACGCAGGCGAACATGGATGATCGATGACTTTTAGTTTAATATACAGTGAAGTCTTGGTTATTCGAGTCCCGTTTAACCAAAGTTCCGTATTATCCGAGGTGCTTCGAACTTTGTCGTAACTTCATTTTTTCAAAGGTTTAACGCAGAGTACGAGAGCGGAAACAGTCAGGTATTGTTAAAACGACTAATCAAACTTACACTTGATTAAATAATTAATCAAACTTAAATACACGTACAATATTACATTATCAAAATGTTTTTTTCACAATTTTAATGCACGACTTATCCACAGTCATGGACTTTAACGCATTATTCGAATTTTCGACGGTCCGAAGTAGATTCGATCCACGTCAAGTCGGATAATCGACACTCTGCGGTATTTTGACCTACCGTCACGTTTAGTGGCACCGTTTATTTGTGTTAATTATTTTATTATTTCAATATACAGGGCTGATGATTTGGCATCTTAAATAATATCTATATAAATAAATAAATAATTATATTCCCCAAGCAACGTCTTACGCTAGAGCTAATGTTTTATAAAACAACTTAGATGTTTGCATCTTTTCTTTTCCATAAAGGTATATTACTGGATAAAATTGAACGAACTTATTACCCAGTATTTTATTACTGTTTTAACTCGTTGCACAGGTATTCTTGCAGTATTTCATTGATTTCAGTTGTCAAAGCTATAGATCGAGTGAATAAAGATCTTGAAGTAATCACTCGATAATAATACTAAGCCGATCGACACTGCGAGTGCACACATACTCAACAAATTTTCTAACTTTGTTTTATCGAGCAATCGGGCGTCCTCGAACAAAATAAAATGTATTCTTTCTTCCTGATTTGTTATTGCTTGTATAATCGGATTATATAATCCGTCCTGAGATAGTTTCCATATATCGCACAAGATTTTCTACAATTTCACATTTTCTTCTTCCAAGTTTTACGTATTTCTTTGCTTTTCGCTGCAACTTACTTGTGTCTCTGTAACATTAGATTTTTCTTTCCAGGTACATAGAACCCACGGAGTATTGTACGTACCTTATGAAGGCAGGGAAATCCCATTTAGAGATTACGAAGTGCTGGTACTATCTTAATCTGTCTGTATGTAAGAAACGTTAAATTTCTTGAACGGTAAAAGTACTTAAATCTGCGCTCAACTGTAGATAAATGTAACTTTATTATTAAAGTATATGAAGATACAGCTCTTTACTTATATAATGCGCTACGCGATTTCGCTGAAAATTTCATTATTTACATATTTGCTATATACTTTATGATTATAAGAAAAAGCTCATTACAAACCGACTATGACAAATTCAAAAATAATTAGTATGTGCTTATTAATGTATTAATGTACTGATAGTAGCTATAAGTACGCTATAAGTAAGCCATAAGTATAAACACTGCAAAAATAACGTAGAAATTATATAGTTTATGTGGAATGCATAAATACATATTAATTTACGACAAAGTGACTTAATAAATGAAATTACGAGTAACCCAGGAAATTACGCGTTTGTAGTAACGATAAAAATACAAACATTTGTGATTAAGGATATTCTCGACACATATTCACGCAACCTCGAAAAATTTAGAGGAATTCTTAATGAACTGGATTACTTTTCAAGTTTGTAGAATTGTTAAAGAATTTGATATTTATTATTTCCTATTGTCTTATCTAATTATTTTCAACATTCATTAAAATACAATTTGTTGAACACAAATAATTTATTTTCCCCTCCGATATTATAATTATAAATAAAATATCGTTATAAATGAAAAGTTGAAAGCTCTACAGTGCACAAGAGACAACTGACCGATATACATAAAATATCATCGGCACAAATTAATTTAGTTTAATAATTTATACATTGACATATTTGCGTTTATTACGTTTTAACATATCTTATATCTTCAAAGTTTAATATTTAAGCTACTTGTTCGAATAAAATTAATGACTTACAACTTAAAAAGTATTTTTACAACTTCAATCGGTATACGATCCTTGTTAAAATCGAATTGTTAAATTAAATTCATTATAAATTGACAGATACGTGTAGAACAGATTTCTCTTCTGGTTATAAATAATTATATTTAATCTAAGAGAAATTGAATAAAAGTATTGCGTGTTGTTTTAACAGGAACGTGGGAAAATTCACGTGGAAAGAGAAGCAGATGTTATAAAACATAAACTTTAGTAATGCTTTCTCAAAAAAGATTTTAACGGATGCATTAACGTATTATCTACCCTTCGGCAGCTCGATTAATATACCGAGGAAAATAATTTATCGGCAGTTCGTTAACGCAATGAGAAAAAGGGAGCCTGGGTCCTGTTGCCGCCCTATTCAACAGATGACTAGGTAGTGTGCTCTCCCTCTTTTCATTATTCAACCCCTAACTGCAGCACATTTTAACGTAGTTGTTCTAAATCGTTAGCGGTTGTGTCAAATTTTATTTCCCGCGTTAATCAATTTTTCAAAGCGCTCTAACGTAGCGCTCTAATGGAACCTTACTGCTAATCGATCCAGCTGATTTATTTAGGATCACTTGAAGCACACTATTTAATTAAATATAATTTTAAGAAACCATTCCTATTAGAATTACCGTTGATTGGATCTTCATTGCCCATATTTTATTCTAACAAGTACAGACATATTACGTACATTTTGAAATTACATTAGCGTTGTAATTATACCCAACTGTCGCATAAATTCTCGACGATTTTGAAAATGTGTACAGAAGTTGCAAGATATTTGGTACAACTATGTATTTTGCAGAAATTGTGAAGGTATTCAAACAGACGATCATTCACGACATTAATTAGTGCTATTTAATTAGTGCTAGTTAATTAGTAGTATATAGCAGGACCACTTTTAACGATTGTTATATGCTTCAGGTAACTGTTCATACTGTATATTAATTTTTGTTTAATTTACCTTGTAATAAATACTTGCAAATTCTATACATACTTGTATTTCCAAATTGAGTTCAAATTTTGTCACTACGACCACGACAGTCGCGTATAAAATCTACTTTTATATTAAATATTATCACGTGTGTTATATAAATTATTCTTAGCGTGTATTTTTGAACGTTCGTGACTTTGAATATGCGTCCTGGCTCCAATAAGGCACACAGTGAACGTGATAAACGGCAAAGAACGTGCGAAATAATTAATAGGAACAGAGTGAACAACGCCGATTATTACGTGGCAAAGAAAATTGTAAAATATAGTAGCAAAAAACGACAAAGAGAAAAAAATTGCTAGTAAATTATCATTAGGTACTTATTAAATAAATAAAACGTATGTCGCGTTATTAAAAATACGTGAATATTATACAATCTATACGTTTAGTAAAACAGTGGAAGAATTGTGCTTGTACATCGAATAAAAAGAAACAAAGCAGTCATCCGGAAACAGGTCATACGCTGTGGAATCCAAAAAACTAATTTTTAGGATCTTTGTCTGTCCGTTTGCGCTCGCATCGCGTAAAAGCTAGCGAATGGATTCTGACGGGTTTTTCTCTGCTGTACAGCTTAATTAATATCCGGGAAAGAAAATGGATTACGCTTCGTAGAAGCTGTGAAATGGCCTGACATCTGAATTCTATGGACTCCCATGTTTGGTAGAGGCGAAGCAACCATGGTTTACGTCGTGTTTATTTCGAAATCCAACATTTGTATAATCCAATATTTCCTGCTACGACTCTTAGTACATAAAAAATACGTAGATATTTAATTCCTAAGAAATCATCTGCTTAAAAATTGTTGCGTGTATCAGTAGTGCATGCGAGCGAAGTTGCGGGCGAAAGCTGGTTGTTCGACGAAAAAGCTTCCGCGGGAGAAGTTGAAACGAAAGAGTCGGGCGCTAGGGATGTATGGCGAAAACGAAAGGGAGCGCTACGCATAGACAACACATCTGTGCGGTTGAAAGCAACCAGTGGTCGTTTTCTCAGTACACACCCGTTATGTGGTGGGCACGTGGCCGTTGCGGCATTATATTCCCATGGCTGGCACGTGGCCGTACGTCGGTACCCCAAATCCCCCTTCATAAGCAAGAACCCCACCACCTCTTATTGCTGGGGAGCCGGTGCCCTCGAGGGTTGGTCGCGCTATTTAATATTTTGATCGGAGAGAGGCGTCTGCGTTTCGTTTGAGTAGCAAGCACTAGGGGTTGTCCACGTGCTCGCGATCGTTCCCTTTTGATTAATTTCGGTACGGATCGACTGGCACGAACGTGGATGATGCTCGACAAAGGAAAGCTCCGAGGAAAGCTTCGTTCAGGGGGAGAAAAGCTAGGACGAGAAAGAGAGAAGGGAAATAGGAACAGCTGGCATCGAGACGAGAATCAGACGACGAGTACAATGCGACTTCGATACAGGGGCTAAATCAACCTTTGTCCCTCCTCTGGCCGTCCAAACGCGTTCCAATCGACACACGATGTGCACGCGTACACGCGTTCTCTTTGCGATCATCCTCCTATATTGTATAATCGCGTACCACTTGCGTGCGAGGGGAAGAATATCGGTGACGACACCTCGTTCTCGATGAAACGTACATACCCTAGCCAGACTGATTCTCATTACGTGCATATAAAGAAGGCGACCTAGATGTCCTATCAAGGCTATTATCTTACATCTGAATTCGGTTTCCATGATTCACCTCTTATCGTAAATAAGCATTTCTATTAATTGGGATACATATAGCCTGGTGATCGGTGAAAAGTAAATTTAATTTATTATAATTCCTTTACGGTTTCGATCGTATCTATAAACTCTAAATCAAATTTTTAGTTGCGACCTTAAATAAACAAGTAAGAAGACGGAGTAACATAATCTAACTGAAACTTGCGTATTCCGTTTGTGTATTTGCAGCATCAAAAAGTTATCCGTTTAACGAATTTTTACTGAATTTTTCGTTTGCTCTTACCTTGACGTTGAAAGCGATCGTACGAATGGACTGCGGATGTTTATGCATCTGTAGAAAATTAAAAGCTGCAAATGAAATACAAATATCCGAAGCAGGTATAGTACTCGTTATAATATTTGACGAGTGAAACGTATCGCCCTTAAGCTTTCCGCTTCTCTCGCTGTTCATGAAAGTGTAAATTTGCATAAGTATCCGCAATCTGCGTATACCTTTATTGAAATTCGTTTTAATCATTTATATACATACATTTACGCTATATACATAATTATAATACAAGATTTACGAGCATTAAAATTGAATGCTGATTTCGATATATTACACGGTTGTGTACGACTCGAACTTCAACTAACGTTCGACTGATTCATTTATTTTGAGAATTTTGAGAAACCTAGCCGAAACGAGTATACGCGTATGACAGGAAAAGCAGAACTTGAACCAGAACTCGAATCGTGATTCGGGAACGGCAAAAGGGAACAGCTGCTCTCTCGTCGATCGACGAGAGTTCTGCAGCTGTTGTCACTAGTGTTGTTGCTACTGCTGCTGATACTCGTGAATCCCGTTAATAAAGAATTGTTTTATCAGCTGTGCGTCCGTAGATATACCATTACTGATGCTTAATAGCATTACTAAATCACATCTTTCGCTACCTCTGTTGATCATTTTTCACCATGAATAAGTATATTAAATTTCACGTTACTTTCGTCATTTTGGTTTCCAGTACAGAAAGGGAGAAAGCTACAACTTTCGCGTACAATTTATGGCCTACGATAGTCGCTGATACGTCGAAATAAAACTACTGTAACGCGTTTCGTGCAATCCGAATGATAAACTAAAAAAGAATATACGGACGAGACTTAAAAAATTACTTAACTTTAAAAATAGCAGTAGTAACGTCACAATATCTAATCTTACAAACGATAATAGCTATCTTGATGACAATTAGCGAAATAACAATTGCGAAATAATATTTTACGATACAAAAGTATTTCGTTTCGCCTCGTGTTAGACGCATGGCGTAAATCTTTGGAATCTTCGATTTCTCAAAAATGCACGAACCTAACCCCAATCTACTTATTTCTTTGGACGTAATGGGACGACTCATTTCCGCTTTCCGGTGATCTTTTCAAGGATGAGGTCACCATTAAGGTGGTGACGCGAGTGCTGCTACCGACAGGTTCCTTTCCGTAGGGTTTTCCCGTGAGTAAAAGCTACGTATGGGGGCTTTCTTTCCGCTGGATCATGGGGGTTGGGGTGGTCCTCGCGACACGAGTAGCAAGTATGTATATACGTTCCACGGCCTTTAGCCCCTCTTTTTCCCCTTCTTTTTTCTTCCTCCAGTGTCTGCTCTCTTTCTCAGCTGCAGCTGCTCGACACACAGGCCCCACGCCATCTGCCATTACAGGCTACACATGCACGCGCGTCTCCAACAAGACCCCAAGATCCGTAATGGCTTTTCGACAATACTGGGTGTTCCAAATTTTCGATATAACTGCGTTAACGCGACCTCTGACGATCTGATTGTCGTTTTCCGCACGACGCTATGCTAGCGAATAATTTCTATACGATTTTCATCCTGTTTTTATATTTTGGAACTATACGTATCGATCATTCGCTGCAACATAGCTAGAAATTCGTTGCTTTTGAGTCGCTTGTACGGAAAAATTGGTTATCGTTGATACCATTTTAGCAGTCGAGTCGTGTAAACGAGCTCCTAAATTATTACACGAGCAGGC